CCCCCCCTCCCCCAGGCGCAGGAGAGATGCATATTAAAAATAAGTCTATGGCCGACGCCTGGTGCAGAGTCCTGTTGGCTGAGATCGGTCACATCCAGAGGCCAAGCCTATCATCCAGCTACTTCAGGAGGCTTTTGAGATCTGAGGATCGCGGTTCAAAGCCAGCCCCAGGGTAGGAAAGTCGGGGAGACGCTTCAACGGACCACCGAAAAGGTGGAGTGGCGCTGTGGCTCAAGGGGTAGAGCGCTCGCCTTGAGGGGAAAAGCTCAGAGGAGCCAGCACCTAGGCCCCCATAGATAGACAGACACACACACACATCACCTGGATCCCAAAGCTCCAGAAAGTTCCTGAAAGTTCCTGTACTGGGAGGAAGAACTTGGATTTCTCTACCGCCTGGAGCCTTGCTCCAGGGTCCCCCAAGCTCCAGGAGCTTTGCAGAGGCCTAGCTCATTGCCCAAAGATAGAGAACAAAGGTGACAGGAAAGCCAGGCAACTGGTGACTCACACCTGTCATCCTATCTACTCAGGAGGCTGAGACCTGAGGATTGAGATTCAAAGTCAGCCCCCGCAGGAAAGTCTATGAGACTCTTACCACCAATGAACCAGCAAAACAAAAGCCAAAAACCCAACAGTGTCTGTTGTGAGCAAAGAAAGCCAGCCAAGCAAGAGCTCAGGGCCTTGAGTTCAAATCCCTAATACTGGCACCAAAACAAAAGAATAGGGTGTGGCTCCTGCTCTGTACGTATTGAGGAGCTCAGGGCTCAGCTCGGCTTCTCCCAACTCTCCCTGTCCCCCCTAGTGGCCCTAATGAGTCCCCACTGATCACAGCCAGGAGAGAGACAGGGTCCCACTGAAGAAAGTGCATTCGCATGAAAGCAAAGACCAGAGGGGGCTCAGCCTGGTAGGATGGTGGGGAGTGGGGAAGGGGTTCCTAGTTCTGTTTACCTCCCAAGTGTTAAGTATGGGCTCCTGAAAGCAGGTCCTGGCATATTGTCGAAGTAAGCTGGCAAGGCAGTGGGCTGCTTTTGCAGCCTGTGTTTGAGGGGCGCTGCTGCTCCCGAACCCCCGAGCCTGGAGCTTGCCTTCTTTCCGAAGATGCAAAAACCAAGACTTCCAAGTGTCTCTCGAGTTTAATTCCTTTCATTATCAGGGGTTGGGGAGGGACAGAGGCCATAACCTGGGTAAGCAGGAGAAGGGCGTCATGGAGGAAGGAATCTGGCAGGAGAGCGTGGAGTTCAGTCCGGGACTTGGGTAGCCACCTCTGAACACAAGCCAACAGCTACCCGGCCCCATTCAGCTTTTCCCCTGCCCACCTGAGTCTTGTGCACGCAAGGCCACACGCACAGGTCTCATCACGCATGTGCCGAGGACCCAGCAACTTGCACCCAGCTCCTACGCACGGGCTGACAGGTGTGTAAGCACAAATGCAGACTTCTACACATGGGGGGGGGCCCTCAGAACCGCCCAGTTGATGCATGCGTGCATGCAGGACTCCATGACACATGCTCAGATGATGTTGTGGTCTGCACCAGGACAGGCGCCCAGGCTGGCACCCATGCGTACACACACGCATGCACACACACTCATAGCCCGCCTCTGCCTTTCCGCCATGAGCTCCACGCCCAGGCCCTTCTCTCGTCCGGGTGATCGCCTTGCCTGGCAGCCTAGAGGCGGGTGGTACTGTGGTGAGCGGGCATGGCCAGGCGGGGGGAGGGGGTGGCAGGGGGGTGTTCCTCCAGGAAGACCCTGGTGGGCAGCTGCGGCGAGCGGGGCTCGGGTCTGGCATAGCACAAGGTGGCCCGGGTGATGAGGCGGTCGAGAGGCTGCAGGGAATGCATCCAGACAGGAAGGAAGTCCCAGCTCTGCAGCCACTTGGGCAGACGCCCAGGACTCCGGTTCTGGAGGATGTTGACAAGCACCACGAAAGCCAGCAGGGCCCCGAAGGGCGCGCCCACACCTACCATGGCCAACCAGCCCGCCATGGAGATACCGAAGACCAGCGAGGGCAGGAGGAGGAAGCACACGAGGAGGTAGAGGACTGCAAACCAGCGGTACTTGGCGGTGAGTTTGCCCAGGGCCTTGGCCATGCGGATGGGTAGACGCATGCAGGGCAGCGGGTACCACAGCAGGATGCCGGAGATGTTGAAGAAGAAATGGCACAGAGCGATCTGCAGGGGAAGAGCCAACGGGGCGGAGGTAGCCAGGGGTTCCCAATGCAGAGCAGCACGAATTGATGATGGAGTCTGGTCTACCCCCCCCCAGCAGGAAAGCCCCACTCAGGGCTCACAGGCCTCCAGATCTCCCTTGGGTGGACACTGATTTTTTTTTGTTTTTTTGTTTTGTCGGTTGTGGGGCTTGAACTCTGGGCCTGGGTGCTGTCCCTGAGCTCTTCAGCTCAAGGCGAGTGCCCTACCACTTAAGCCATAGTGCCACTTCCGGTTTTCTGGTGGTTTAGTGGATATAAGAGTCTCATGGCCTTTCCTGCCTGGGCTGGCTTTGAACCACAATCCTCAGATCTCAGACTCCTGAATAGCTAGGATGACAGGCATGAGCCACCGGTGCACAGCTTTATTTATTTATTTTTGTATGTGTATGTGCCAGTACTGGGGCTTGAGCTCAGGGCCTGGAAACTGTCCCTTAGCTTTTTTTGCTCAAGGATGGTGTTTTACCACTTGAGCCACACCTCCACCGTCAGCTTTTTGCTGGGTAATTGGAGCTAAGTCTCAAGGACTTTCCTGTTTTGAACTGTGATCCTCAGATCTCAGCCTCCCGAGTAGCTAAAATTACAAGTATGAGTTGCCAATGCCCAGCAAGTTATTAAAATATCAGAAGTTGGGTGCCAGTGGCTCACTCCTATAATCCTACTACTCAGAAGGCTGAGATCTGAGGATGGCAGTTCAAAGGCATCCCGGGCAGGAAGGTTCATGAGACTCATCTCCAGTAAACCACTAGAAAACCAGACGTAGGGCTGGGAAGTTGGCTCAGTGGTAGAGCGCTTGCCTTGCATGCATGAGGCCCTGGGTTCGATTCCTCAGTACCACATAAGCAAAAAGATAAAAAGCCGGAAGTGGCGCTGTGGCTCAAATGGTAGAGCGCTAGCCTTGAGCTGAAGAGCTGAAGGACAGCGCCCAGGCCCAGAGTTCAGGCCCCATGACCGGACCCAAAAAAAAAAGAAAAAAAGAAAACCAGACGTAGAGCTGTGGCTCAAACTGGTAGCATGCTAGCCCTGAGCAAAAAAGCTCAGGGGACAGTACCTGAGTTCAAGCTTCAGAGCCTCAGGCCTGCTTGTTCTTCTAGCTCTATGCTAGAGACTCCAAGATCGGGCCCCTTTTACTGCACTTTTCCTACTACAAATCTGCCTTGCTTCTGGGTGCCTGTGGCTTATGCTTGTCATCCTAGCTACTCAGGAGGCTGAGATCTGAGGATCGTGGTTCAAAGCCAGACCGGGCAGGAAAGGCCATGAGACTCTCATAACTAATAAACTACTCGAAAACTGGAAGTGGCACTGTGGCTTAAGTGGTAGGCACTCACATTGAGCTGAAGAGGTAAGGGACAGTGCCCAGGCCCAGAGTTCAAGCCCCAGGACTGACAAAAAAAAAAAAATCTGCCTTGCTATCGTATTTTTGTTTTTGTGCCCTACTGGGGCCTGAGCTTGAAGGCTTGTGCTCTTGTTTGGCTTTTTCTGCTCAAAAGCTGGCTCTCTACCACTTGAGCCACATCTCCCCTGGCCTTTGGCTAATTAATTACAGATAAGAGTTTCTCAGGGTGGCTGCAAACCATGCTCATCAGATCTGTTTCCCCCTAAGTAGCCAGGATTACAGGCGGGAGCCACCTGCGTTGCATTGCTATTACAGACTGGTATGATGATCATGCCGAGTCTTTCTGTGGCAGAATGCAAGTCAGTGGGCTTTGCCAGAAGTGATTTTACTAAAGGGTGGACTACAGTTCCGTTCCAAGTTGCCACACCCTCCATTAGGCCCCTACCTGGAAAGAGCTGGACAGTTTCTCCCTGGGGCTAGCCAGCGCTGCTAAGATGGCGGTGGTGGTGGTTCCGATGTTGGAGCCCAGGGTGAGGGGGTAGGCCCGCTCGATGCTGATCACACCCAGGCCTGACGGGCAGAGGAGAGCATGCTGATGCTTCTTGGCTTCCTTCAGCCTCCCCCGCCCCACTCCCCACACCTACTGCTTGGCCCAGGCACGTACCGATGAGCGGGGTGATGGCCGAGGTGAAAACCGAGCTGCTCTGAACCACGAAGGTCATACCCGCACCCACCACCATGGCAAAGTAGCCCGTGACCCAGGTGAACGGGGCAGGCAAGTCTGCAAAGGACACACACACACACACACAGAAGATCAGCTCGCACGCCACACCCCTACCGGGGAGCGCCTTCCCGGGTCCCTGGCTTCCACAGCCCTTTGGGTACCCCTCATTCCTGAACTTGCCATTACAGCTCAGAGCCAGGCAGGATCCCCAAAAGCTCCAGAGTAAATCTTCCATGAATACTTGTATAGAGCCCCACTGGGTGCCCAGCTTCAGGATCTCACTTTTTGTCCCTGGAGTTTGAACTCAGGGCCTGAACGCTGTCCCTGAGCTGTTTTCCTCAAGGCTGGCTTGCCACCACCCTGAGCCACAGCTCTCCTTTTGACTTTGAGGCAGTTCGTTGGAGATAAAGAGTCTCACAGACTTTCCCACCCAGGCTGGCTTCGAACCGCGATCCTCAGATCTCAGCCTCCTGAGTAGCTAGGATGACAGGCGTGAGCCACCAGCGCCCAGCTCTACCTAGAACAGGATGTGGAAGAGACCATGGTGACAGTCCTGCTGCCTTCCCAAACACGGCTCAGGGCTCACCTGTGTTGATGACCTTCTGGATGACCTTGGCCACCTGGCCCTTGAGCATGGAGTTGAGCATCTTGACAACGAGAATAAGGCAGGTGCACAGCACCACCAGAGAACCAGCTAGCAGGATGAGGCCCACGGCCAGGTCGGGCAGCCCAGTATCCACGAAGATGTGTTTGCCTGCAGGGACAGCATCAGGGCCTTGGAGAATCCAGAACTCCAGACTCCAACCTCCCCACCACGGCCCAGGCCCAGGGGCTGGGTTGATGGACAGCTGTGGTCCCTGGGGACAGTGGGAATGGAAGAGGGCAGCCCGTGGGACGTGCGACCCCTGCCGGCCGCAGAGACTCACATTTCTCCATGGTGACATTTCTCAGGGACTGGCTGGAGTTGGCTTCCACCCTGGACATGGACGTGGAAGCCTGGATGAACAGGAAGGGTGACTTAGAACATCCCGGTGGTTGGGCTGGGAAGGTGGCTCAGTGGTAGCGTGCTTGCCTAGCATGCACAAAGGTTTGATTCCTCAGTACTACATACACAGAAAAAGCCAGAAGTGACCGCTGTGGCTCAAGTGGTCAAGTGCTAGCCTTGAGCACAGAGAGGCTCAGGGACATCGCCCAGGCCCTGACTTCAAGCCCCAGGATTAGAAAAAAAGAAAACAATCATGGTGGTGAAGCATTTACCACCCAAGCCGAGCACAGTGGCTCACGCCTGTCATCCCAGCTGCTGAGATCACAAGGATCATGGTTCAAAGCCAGCCTGGGCAGGAAAGTCCATGAGACTCTCATCTCCAATAAACCACCAGAAAACCAGAAGTGGCGCTGTGACTCAAAGTGGTAGAGTGCTAGCTTTGTGCAAAAGAAGCTCAGGGACAGCGCCCAGGCCCTGAGTTCAAGCCTCAAGACCAGAAAAAGAAAAATAACTGTGAAACTTTATCTGGAGTGAGAGGCAGTTGTGTCATGGTGAGCTTTGTCCCCTCGTGGTGACAGAAAGTGAGGGCAGGAAATTGGGAGGCTGGATTCTGGGTCCTTCCCCATCTGTTTCCTCCTGACTCAATCACTTCAGGGTGAGGAGTTGAGCTAGGGGAGAGCAAAGGGTCAAGATGCTGGGAGAAGAGGGAGAAGCTGTTAGCAGAGGATTGGTAGATGAGGAGGGAGAGTTTTGGGATAAAGATGACAGTCAGTGATATCCAAAGATGAGTCACCACGAGATGTGGCCATCAGGAATCCAGGTTAGTGGACTGGTGGTTAGATTCTGTGTGTGTCTGTGTGTGTGTGTGTGCATTTGCACATGCGCGCACTTGCGCACTTGAACTCAGGACCTGGGAGCTGTCCTTGAGCTTTTTTTTTCCCCCTCTCTCAAGGCTAAGGCTCTACTAGTTGAGCCACAGCTCCATTTCCAGCTTTTGTGGTGATTCCTTGCAGATAAAAGTCTCATGGACTTTCCTGGCAGGCTTCAAACTGTGATGCTCAGATCTCAGCCTCCTGAGTAGCTAGGATGACAGGCGTGAGCCAGTTTCTATCTACTACTTTGAGGCATCCATTGCAATTCTAGGATGCAGAATTCTAGAAGCAGCATCTAACCTGTAACCCACTCATCTATAGTCTGCTTGGTTGAGCTAGGGAGTTATTACTATCACTATTACTATTATTATCAGTCTTGGGGCTTGAACTCAGATCGGAGCCTGGATGCTTTCCCTGAGCTGCTTTTGCTCAAGGCTAGCACTCTACCACTTGAACCAGCCCTGTTGGGGAGGAACTTGGGAAGCAGATAACCCTCCTGACATGAGTGGCCAAGTTGTGCTCACTGAGGTCTACTGGTGTGTGTGGGGGGAGCTTATAAATCCTGGGGCAGGGGCTGGGAAGTTGGCTCAGTGGTAGAGCGCCTGCCTTGCATGCCTGAGGCCCTGGGTTCGATTCCTCAGCACCACATTAGAAAAAAGCCAGAAGTGGCGCTGTAGCTCAAGTGGTAGAGCACTAGCCTTGAGCTGAAGAGCTGAGGGACAGCGCCCAGGCCCAGAGTTCAGGCCCACGACTGGACCCAAAAAAATAAATAAATAAATACTGGGGCAGTTTCTGGAGGAGGAGAAAGGGGAGGAGGAGGAAGAGGATTTCACTGCAGTTACTTCTTCAGTGGAAGCAGAATCGGGGCAGGGCAATCAATGCCAAGGGGTTGAGATCTTTAAATTCTTTTTTTCTTTTTGCTGGTTGTGGGGCTTGAACTCTGGGCCTGGGCACTGTCCCTCAGCTCTTCATCTCAAGGCAAGTACTCTACCACTTGAGCCACAGCACCACTTCCAGTTTTCTGAGTGGTTCATTGGAGATAAGAGTCTCACGGACTTTCTTGCCTGGGCTGGCTTTGAACTGTGATCCTCAGATCTCACCCTCCGAGTAGCTAGGATGACAGGTGTGAGCCACCAGTGCCCGGCTTACAAAGAGTTTTTGATGTAGATGTCTCAGGGCTTTTGACATTCAAAGCCAGGCTGGGGGACAGAGGATGGAGGGAAAAACTGGCAACTCCAGCTTGAAAGTGATAGGGCCGAGTCCCAGGAACTGGGCCATAGCCCTAGGCTATGGGGACAGAGTAGCAGGAAGGTAATGGGGAGGGGATCTGGGGTGAAGAACAGACCCAATGGGGCTCACTTTGCATCGTAGCTGAATCACCCCAAGCTGTGTGTGAAGCAGAACCACACACAGTTAGCCTCTCTTGGGCCTCAGATACCTTTTCCATAAAATGCTGTTCTGTGTGTGTGTGTGGGGGGGTGGTGCATGTGTGCCAGTCTTACTGCTTGAACTCAGGACCCTGAGCTTTTTTTCAATCAAGGCTAGCTCTCTATCACCAGAACCACAGCTTCATTTATATTATTTAGATATGAGTCTCACGGACTTTTCTGCCCTGGCTGGCCTTGAACCACGATCCTCCGATCTCAGCCTCCTGAGCAGCTAGGATGACAGGCGTGAGCCACCGGGTTTAGGCTTTCTTAATTGAAAAACAGGAGTCGGGATTAACAGGTCTGCAGGGACACCCTCAAATTAAGGAGAGGCTTTGGGGACCGGATCAAACTCACAGAGGACTGCCGGCCTGGAGGCCTTCCTTCCCCCAGGGAGAAGCAGGCAGGATGCGGGCCTTGTTAACCTTTCGCTGGGGAGGGAAAGGGAGCTCTGAGGCTTTTGTTCTTCTGGAAGCTGAGAGCGCCGTGTCCGTAGCGCCATCTGGTGGCGAAGACGAGCATTTCTCCTGAGAGCATCATTTGTCCATCACTTTAAGTCAGGTCTGAGGTGGCCTTCAAGCCCTGAAGGATGTCTTCATTTGTAAAATGCCCACGTGCCCATCCTCCTTCTCAGGCTGCAAAAGTCCTCAAAAGATGCTTGTGTAGAACACATCAGAGCCGGGCTGCTGGTGGCTCACACCTGCCATCCTAGCTCTCCAGGAGGCTGAAGATCTGAAGATCGTGGTTCAAAAGCCAGCCAGGGACAAGAAAGTCCCTGAGACTCTTCTGCCCAATTTAACACCACCAAAAGTCTGGAAGTGGAGCTGTGGCTCAAGTGGCAGAGTGCCAGTCTTGAGCAAAAAACAAAAACACCTCAGGGAAAGCACCCAGCCCCCTGAGTTCCAGCCCCAGGACCAGAAAAAAAGAAAAGAAAAAGAAAAAAAAACATGCAAAGATGATTACCAATCCACAGTGTGACACCCCCCCCCCCAAGGTAATTTCTATGACATGACCAAATCCTCAAAGCATTCAGAAGTGTTTGAAACACTCAACCTGCCTCTTGATTTTGCTTTTACCATCTGGAAAGTTCCAGACTCTCATCCTCTGTTTGGTGACAGAAGTTTCTTAGGTTTGGCTTGCATCAGACTGGGTCCCAGGTAGTGAAGATGGAAGAGGTTGGAAAGGAAATCTCCGTGGCCTGAGGAAGATCCTGGGCATAGCAGGAGATCACATATTCATACCTCAGTGTGTGTGTCACAGTCCAGACAGACAGCCCCAGACACCAGGGAGCTCAGATCCCTTCCACGTCTCCCACTGAGAAAAGTCCAATGAGGATGGTGATTTGGAGCCAGTGCTTGGGCCAGTGGCAGCCAGGGCCAGAGAAGAAAAAGCTCCCTAGCTGGGCTTTGGTGGCTCACGCCTGTCATCCTGGCTACTCAGGAGGCTGAGATCTGAGGATCGTGATTCAAAGCCAGCCCAGGCAGGAAAGTCCATGAGACTCTGATCTCCAAGGAACCACCAGAAAACCGGAAGTGGTGCTGTGGCTCAAGTGGTAGAGCGCTTGTCTTGAGCTGAAGAGCTGAGGGACAGCGCCCAGGCCCAGAGTTCAAGCCCCATGACCGACCAAAAAAAAAAAAAAAAAAAGGTGACCCGGATGACCATGGGCAATGTGTCCACTTGTATGAAATGGGGTCCCCATGTTCACACAGCTAGCTTGAGCACCACATTGGTGAAGCAGAACCCAATGCCAGCCCAGACCCACTCGACGCCGTAGCAGGTGGACAGTTCAGGCCTCAGAGAAGCGAGGCACAGAGCTGTCTCCGTGGCTCGTTGTCTGTAAAGATCAAAACGTGTGATGTCTTTCTTCCAGAGTTTGCTTTCAAGTAGAGAGGCTGTGGTGACTCAGAGCGTTCACGGGGCGTCTAAGAGCTTCTGAGGGGGGAAGCTGGCGAGCCAGCGAGGTCACGGAGACACCATCAAAGCCGTCCACGTGGGCTTTCTGTTGTCAAGCTGTCTTGAACTGTCAGAAAGACTGCACCGACACTGCGTGCCACCTGGGGTGGCGGGGAACACCACAGAGACAGTTGATTGAGTGCTTTCTCTTCATACAGGAGAAAGGGCCGGCAGCATGGAGCAGCAGTGGAGAAGATCGAGAGACCTGGGTCTCTGCTGCGATTTTCTCCTGTGCGTACATTGGACACTGAGGGCGCACACCTGGAATCTTGAGATCTGAGGACCCTGGTTCAAAGCCAGCTCAGACAGACGAATCTAAGAGTCTCTTATCTGTAATTCTCCAATGAGCCACCCCCAAAAGCCAGAAGTGGGCTCAAAAAGAACTATTTGTATTGAAAACTACTGGGGTAGGCCAATGACATACCAACTATAATTGATTGGTGATGTCTGCCTAAAGCAGTGAGGCTGGGAGTGATTAGTAATGTCTGCATGGGCAGTGCATAGATTTGCCAAGTGTTTGCTCTCTCCTGGCTAAATGATCTTCAAGGTCTATTTGAATTCAGGGGGCCTGGGCACTGTCCCTGAGCTTCTTTTTGCTCAAGGCCAGTGCTCTACCACTTGAGCCACAGGTCCAACTTTTGACTTTTTGGTATTTCATTGGAGATAAGAGTCTCACGGACTTTCCTGCTCTGGGCTGGTTTTGGATCACAATCCTCAGATCTCAGCCTCCTGAGTAGCTAGGATGACTGGCACCCCGCTACCTAGTGCATTCTGAACCACAAAACGGGCAGTCATCCGAAGAGAGAGACGTCTAGACTGGGACTGACCTCGATTGTGTCTGGATGGCACCAGATCCGAATGAGGCTGTGGTTCCTTAGAGTCTCGTCTCCTGTGGCAATGCTGGTGATCACTGACTTGTTCAGCTGTGAGCAAGAGGAGGCGTGGAGAATCAAGGGTGGGAGGGGCATTTCTCTCCCCACCCACCTCAATCTCTACTCCCAGGCCAGGCTCTGTACTCACCTGGATGATGAGCTTTGTGAAGGGCTCTGTGATAATCTTGAGCAGGTCCGGGGCATCTCTGCCTCCACGGATGTTGAAGGAGGCCACCACAAGTCTGGTGATGTGGTCCAGGTAGCTGGTGGCCGCCTCCAGGGGCAGCAGAACCAGAACGGACAGCCAGTTAAAGCAGTCGTGCACTGTGGCCCCCGCGAAGGCCCTGGGCAGGGAGGCCATATTGCAGGGAAGCCCAGAGCCAGGGGTGCGCTCACGCTGGGTTGGAGGGCGGGGGTTTCCTGGTATTGGGAACTGCCTCCCCACCCCAGCACATACATAACCCCCACCCTCCTGCCCCAGCTCACCGCCGGAAGTCAGTCCTATCCCCTGCCTGCATCAGAGCGACGATAGTGTTGGTGACAGAAGTTCCGATGTTGGAGCCCATGATGATGGGGATGGCGGAGCTCACCTCCAGCACTGGGGGAAGATGGCCGAGGGTGGGTGGCAGTGACCACCCAACTCTACCCCCCACAGAAAGCACCTAGCAGGGGCTGGGAAGGTGGCTCAGTGGTAGAGTGCTTGCTTAGCATGTGTGAAGCCCTGGGTTCGATTCCTCAGTACCACATACACGGAAAAAAAACAAAAGTGGTGCTGTGGCTCAAGTGGTAGAACACTAGCCTTTGGAAGTCACATCCATATGCAATCTAGACTTCTACTGGTGTACACCATGCATGCGTGCAGGTGTGCTGGTTTGTTTTCATACCCAGCTGTACAGCCTCATTGTAATCCGGGCATTTCTGTGAACGTATTTCCTCTATGTGGACATATTTCCTCATCTACAGTTGGTTGGCTTAAAGTAAAGATTATTCTAGTTTTTTTTTTTATTTTTTGTCAGTCATGGGTCTTGAACTCTGGGTCTGGGTGCTGTCCCTCAGGTCTTCAGCTCAAAACGAGTGCTCTGCCATTTGAGCCACAGCGCCATTTCCAGTTTTCTGGTGGTTCACTGGAGATAAGAGTTTCACTTTTTTGCCCGGGCTGGCTTTGAACCATGACCCTCAGATCTCAGCCTCCTGAGTAGGTAGGATGACAGATGTGAGCCACTGGTGCCCGGCTAGATTATTCTAGTTTTGCTGGGACCTTGGGGTTTGAACTCAGAGCCTGGGCACTGCTGTCCTTTTGCTTTTTCTGCTCAAGGGTGGCACTCAACCTCTTGAGCCACAGCTCCACATTGCACTTTTGGTTGGCTCATTGGAAATAAGAGTCTCATAGGCTTTCCTGTCTATGATGACGTTGAAGTGTGATCTCCAGATCTCAGTTTCCCGAGTAGCCGGGATTACAGGTGTGGTCACTGGTGCCCGACTTACAGCCTGTTTTTTTTTTTTTTTTCCCCTGGTTATTTTTTAGAGATTGAAGTCTTGCAGACTTTTCTACCTGGGCTGGCTTGGAACTGGGGGTCGTTTGGATCTCAGCCTCCTGAGGAGCTGGGATTAAAAACACCAGCCTGCACCCAGCAGATCATCCTTGATCATCAAATTGGGCCACGTGCAAGGCCAAATCCAGGCTTTTATGAGGAAGAAGAAATTCCACTCATATACCATGCCCTTGGCTTCTGCCCAATGAATTCTAGCCTGCCCTGCACATTTCAGACTGGATCAGTCAGATAGGTTGTGGAGAGGAGCCAACTCTCCTCCCTAAATCCACTCTAGCCTTCAATCCCGATCCTCCCAGCCTCCCAAGATTCTTTCCCTGGCTCCACTCACAGCCCGAGGAGACCATGCTGACAATGATGGACGTCGAGGTGCTGGAACTCTGCACCAACACCGTCACCAGAATGCCCACCACCAGCCCGGCCACCGGGTTGGACAGGATGGCATTGTCTTTGAAGATGTCACCAGCTACTTTCCCTGAGGAGGAGTGGAGCGGTGTTATGGAGGGGAGGGGGGGTCCTCCGGAACTCTTCCCCAGCCTTCCACTCCCCCTCCTCCCGGGGTCCTACCTCCAGCCAGCTGGAAGGCGGAGCTGAGCACATCCAGAGAGCAGACAAACAGGTAGAGCAAGAGCAGCATGAGTGGTACCTTGAGGAGGGTGGCGAGGGCCTGGCGGAGCTTCTGGGCTAGCTGGGGCTCTGGAGGCCGAGCAGGTAGGAGGACAGTGCGCATGAGCCCGGGACAATGCCTTTCCAGGGTCGCTGCCCACCCCTGGCCTGGCCCCTACCTGGCTTCTGCTCATCTTCCAGGGCCAGCTTGGCCGGGAATGGGTCATGGCGCTCCAGACCCTCTCCGTAGGGACAGCTGTGCTCCGTGAGGGCCACTGGGCCCAGGCTGGGGAAGGCGTAGGCCGATGTCCCTGGGATCCTGTGGAGGACTGTGGGGGGGGCTGGTCAGAGGCTCCCCTGGGGCTCAGGGAGGCCAGCAAGAGGGAGGGGTGGACATGAGGGGAGTGGGCATCCCGAGGAGGGGGTGGGGGAGCTGGACTCACCCTGTGGGCTGGGCACATAGGCAAAGGCTGGTCTGTGCAGCACATGGCCCCCCCGGACCGGAAGTGGGGAGACAGTTGGCCCCCCCAGCCTTTCTGCATAGGACATCATCTGGGCACCTGCATGTCAGGGAATGGTAGCAATGCTGTGTGACAGTTGTTATGTCCCAGACACCCACACACGTGTGCACTGCCAAGCATGGTGGCGCACACCTGTCATCCTAGCTACTCAGGAGGCTGAGATCTGAGGATCACTGTTCAAAGCCAGTACTTTCCTGCCCGGGAGACTCTTATCTCCAATAAACCACCAGAAAACCAGAAGTGGCGCTGTGGCTC